ATAATTATAAAAAAAATAAATTGATAAATAATTTTTTTATAAATTTTTAAAAAATAATACAAAATAAAATTAAAAATTTAAATATTTTAAAAATAAATTTGATTAAAATAATAAAAAAACCCGTTTTGATTATAAATGTGGTAAATATAACCACATTTAAAAATACTATTTGAAAAAAAAAGGTAAAAATAGTAATTAAAGTAATATTTAAAGTGATAATTAAAATAATTATTTAATTTATATTTTATAAATACCAACTAAAGTAAATTAATATATAAATATTGGGAATAATATATATATTATTAAAATAAACGTTAATATTATAAATCTTTTAATTAAAAAAATATAATTTTTAACGTTTTAAAAAAAATTTAAATAAAAGTTAAAATAATTAAATTTTATATTAAAAACGAAGTTAATAATTTTTATAAATAAATAATTCATTATATTTATTAAATATTATATATTAATTTCATTATTATTACTTTTTATATTTAAACTAATTTCTTTTAAATATAAAAATCAATATATATATTATATATTATATAAATAATTTTATATTTAATATAATAATTAATATTTTTAATAAAAATATATTATATATATAAATGTTAAATTAATATTTCTTATAAAAATAGGGATTGCGTTATATAAATTATAAAATTTAAAAACGAAACTTATTAAAATAATATTATAATATATTTTTTATATTTAAAATTTTTTATTTAAAATCTTTTTAAAAAAATTATTATATGAAATAAAAAAATAAAAAAATATTTAATATATTTAAAATTTTAATAAAATAATTTTTATAATATTAAACGTAAAATGTTAAGGTTTTTTGTTATAAAAATATAATAAATTTAAGTTTTAAAATTTAATTCATTTTTGTTAATAAGTGTATAAATTAAAAATAAAAATGAAAATTAATAATAAAAAATTTAATAAAAATTAAGTAAAATTATAAAATATTATTTAAATCATTATATAAAATAAAAAATAAATTAATTTTCTAATATTAAAAACTATATTATTTTAGAGCAACACTAGTCGGGCAGTAGGGGGCGTATTAGGTGGGCAATATATTATATATAATTGCATAATAGCAAGGTTGGTAAGTATCGTACAAGTATTACATATATTCCTATATAAACTTACTTTATCGCGCATATATTTTTTATAACAATCTTACCAAATTTGAATTTACCTAAGATATATACTTTTAATTGGTTAGTTTTATCAGCCATAACCTTTTAACTAGCCTCATATGTAGGTATTATTTAAAGACTTTATTTTTAACTTTTTTACATCGAAATAAACGCATACAACCAAATAATAATACTTAGCAAATACATACAACCAAATAAAATTATTATATAAAACTTTACTTACATCGTTATTAAATTAATTAAATTAACTAAATTAATTAAATTAAATTAAATAAAATGCTAAATAAGGTATAATATTAAAATAAAAATAAAGATATTACCAAACAGGCGATATAAGATTTTAAGCCAATAAGAGGGCTTATATTTTTAAAAATACGGATGGTTGAGACTATTCTGACAATATAAGTTTATAGTAATGACTTTATATGGTAGGGTAGGTATTTAACGATATATGCCAGCCCGGCATACTGCCCATTTAGTACGCCCCTTACTGCCCAACTAGTGTTGCTCTTATTTTAATATAAAAGAATAAAAAAAATTATTAAGTAATTTATAAATATAAATTTTAATAAAGAAATCATTTAAAAATCATTTTATATATAATTAAATAAAAATTATAAAAAAAAATAAATTTTTTTAAAAATAAATAAATTATATTAACAAAATTCTATAATATAATTTTTATATTTCATAATATATTTTAATTAAAAGTAATAATTATTTTATAATAATTATAAATAATGAAAATATTTAATAATTGTTTATAACATATAAAATAAAAAATAAAAATATTAAAATTTTCACGAAATATTTTACTTAATTATATTAAATATTTTAAACTTTATTTAATTTATTTAATAATTTTCAAAAATAAGTTAATTTTTTTTAAATTTATAGTAAATAAAAGTTTAAAATAAATTATTTAAAGATTTTTTATTAAAAAAAATTTAAATTAAATTAATTTTTATTTTATAATTAATATTGAAATAAAATAGTATAAAAATATATATATTTTTTATAAAATAAAGTTAATGTTATATACGTTATAATAACAATATTTATTTATTTTTAAAATTATATATTATTAATAATTATATATATTAAAATTTAAAAAAACCCATATATTTGCAAACTTGTATAAACGTTTTTATATACTTGTAGGTTTATACGGTAAAATTTTTCAGAAATCTTTATTAATTTTTTATAATTTATTAATTTTTTATAATTTATTAATTTTTTATAATTTATTAATTTTTTATAATTTATTAATTTTTTATAATTTATTAATTTTTTATAATTTATTAATTTTTTATAATTTATTAATTTTTTATAATAATTTTAAAAGTTTAAACGTAAAAAATGTTTTAACGGATAAATTGTGTTATTAAATTAAATAAATTATAAGAATTAATATATTTAATTAAAGTTTATATTATTCAAAACTTTTAATTAAAATGCAAATATAAATATTATATATTATATATTATATTATAAAATTACGTAAGTTATAATATTTAATATATTAAATATACCATTAAGTTTTAATAATAATAATAATTTTATATTATATATATATATATATTTAACAAATATAAAATTAAAAAATTATTTTAAGTTTAAAATAATATAATAATATAAACTTTTTTAATTTATACATTTATTAATTTCCTATAATAATTTATTAATTTATTTAATATAAATAATAAATGTTATTTTAAATTGTTAAATTTAAATAAGTTAATTTTATTATAATATTAATTTATTTAAAATTATTAATTTAAAATAAAATCCGTTATTTATATTAAACATATTAATAAATTATTATAAGAAATTAATAAGCATATAAACTAAAAAAGTTCATATTATAATATCATTTTAAACGTAAAGTAATTTATTATTTTAATTTTTATTTATAATTAATTAATTTAATTTAAATTAAATAAATATATTAATAATATTTTTAAATATAAAATCTTTATATAAAATTTTAAAATAATGATATTATTATAAAATAAATAATTAATATAATAATTTATAAATAAAATCGTTTTTTATAATAATTTAAATTATTATAAAAAATCAATAAAATAATTAATAAATGTTACATAATTAACTAATAAATATATAAATTAAAACGTTTTAAATATTATATTATTTCAATTTAATAAAATAATTTATTATAAGTTTTTATAAAATATTTTTATTTTTAAAAAACAAATATATTATAATAAAATATAATATAGTAAATTAAAATTAATAAATCATTTTTAATAATTTAAAATAATATAATATTTTAAAATCCGTTAATTTATATGTTTTTTAAATTTTATTAATTATTTCCATAATATTTATTAAGTTTTTTGTTGATTTTTATAATGATTTTTTAATTTCTTTTAATATAAATAATAAACTTTATTTTTTATAATAAATAAGGTTAAATAAACAATAAAAAACAGATTAAATAAATAATATTTAAAGTTATTATATATTATTAAATATTTATTTCATTATATAATTATGTTATTAAAATGATTTCAATTATTTTATTTTTTTAAATAATGCGTGTTTTTTTATTAATTAAACTTTACATTATTTAATAATACTTTTATTTTATACTTTATTTTATACTTTATTTTACAGTTTTATTTAATTTAATTATAATATAAAACTTATATATTTTAATATAATGTTTTTATTTAATTACATATAATCATTATAAAAAATAAAATAAAATAAAAACGTAACTTCAATTTAAAATTTTTAAAAAAATATAAAATTAATTGGTTAATTAATTAATAAACCAATTAAATAATTATATTAAACAAAGTTAATTAAAAAGTTTAATAAACAATAAATTTAATAACGTTATTATAAATAATATATATTATAAAAAAAGTTTAAAAAAATCTTTTTAAAATTAAAATAATTTTATATAACAAAACATTTTTAAGTTTTAAAGGTTTTAATTGGTTAAAATTTATATATAATAAATATAAATACCCATTTTTAATATTTGATTTTAAAAAAACGTTTTATAACCGTAAAACCATTTTATTTTGTAAAATCGGTTTAATTTTTAAAACGATATTATTAATAATATAATATTTTAATAATAAAAAATGATTTTTTTTAAAAAAAAATAACAAAATGAAAAAAATAAAAATAATAAATAATAAAATTTTCGAAAGTTTTTTTAAAGTTAAAATTTTACTTTTTTAATATAAATTTAAAAAAAACTAATTTTATTATATTAAATGTAATTTCATTTATTATTTTATTTATAATAAATATATAATATTAATATAATTTAAAATTTAATTTATATTATAATTAACTTTAAATATATTATGTAATATAATATTTTTAATTTAAAACTTATATATATTAATGATATTTATGTTAACATGTTTAAATAATTTAATTAATAAAATTTTATTTATTTTAAATTAAGTTACGTTATTAATAAACCGAGTTAAATTAAATAAAAATGAAATTAATTTTAATAAATTTTATTTATAAACTAAAATTTTACAAATAAAACTTATATTAATTAAACTAATTTATTAAAAACATTTTTTACGTTTAAACTTTTAAAAATTATTATAAAAAACTAATAAATTATTAATAAATAAACATTTAATAAATAATAAAAAATTGAAAAATTTTTCTGATAGATTTTACCATGCGAGCTTATAAGTACGTAAAAACGCTTGCGTTTTCCTAAATTTTATTAATTACAGCTGGTTATATAAAATGGCAAGTTACGCCTGCCAGTTGCTTTCAAAATGTTTCAAATTGCTTAAAGTAACGTATTTCCCCCCCTTGTTGTATTTAAACCGTTAATCGATACAATAATGTTCCGTAGCCTAAGTCATCATAACCTCCGCTATTACTGCTGTAATCGCCGCCACCGCCTTCCACGCCGTCAGTACTATTACCGTTCGTCTCGTCTCGGTACAGTTTCGTCCAAGAGGCATTCAGGCCCTTGACATCCGCGTAGTGGGCATATAAGCGCTCAAAGCCGGGACGGTGGGTATAGCGGCTGGCAGCGCTGATCTCGGTCTGGTTTCCAAGGTAGCTATTATACCAAGTGTACGGCACGTCGTAGCCTGTGTTGTACTTGGCGACATATTCCGATCTGCTCCTATTGTCAGCCTCTAAATACACATCGTCTTTTCGAAGGGATATACTCACGCAGCTAAGCCGGAGTTACTCAAAATCGCATACAAATCGTCTCCTTGGTTGTACCCTTGCTGCATAATAGCGCCCAAGAGCGCGAGGTCTAGTGTTGCGTGGCCTTGATCTCTTCCTGCCTCTTGGCCCTGGGCTAGAATCTTACCACTCCCATCTTCGGTGTAGTTCTTGTAAATAAAATTGTTGATGGCACCTCTACCATCTCCGTGCAGGAAGTAGTCCTTGGCCCAGTCGTACATGGTCTGGTTATCTGTGAAGACGCCAATGGCCATTATACTGGCCGTGTTGCAGAAATCCCAATTTGCCCACTAAAACAAGCTTTAGTTAGCAGAGCTCAAACTTATGAGACGTCTATCATAGTCCTAGAAAGGTCTTCTATAACTAAGGAAAAACCAGAGTTATAGGAGTTCTCTTACGTAATGGTACTCATCCTGGTCGTTATGGGTTGTAAGAAACCTATAATTGAGGGGATAGAACACATCCACGAGGAGACTTTTCAGGTCGTCCTGCGATCTGCTATTCCAACCGCTGTAGGATCGCATCAATTCAGCAGCATTTGCCAACTGATACCCGTAAATGCCGGCCGCGAGGAAGAGGTCACTGTTACCACCTATGGCCGTCATTGTGGACGACCATGCGTTGAGGATTTTGACAGCGGCATCAGCATACTCAGTCGCTTGCTCGACTTGCCAACGGATCGCAAGCTGGTAAGCGGCGTGAACATCGTTATAAAGCTTTGGGTAGTTTTGGGCGTGAGTACCGTCGGAACCCCGGTAGACAATTGCCTGTGGGCTGGGCTCATAGGTCGACTGAGCGTGTGAGTTTTTGGTGAGTAGCTGCCAGTTTGTATTCCAAGGCTCATCCGCATTGTTTACATGGTCCCTAATGCGAGTCAGATCCTCGGACGTATGCAGAAGTCCCGGGTGGATGAATGCTGCAGCGTGGGACGCCGCGTAGGCCAGGAGCAGAAATTTGAGAGTTGCCATTATTCAGTATACACTTGAGTAACTTAGATGAATGAAAGCTCAACACTTAGAGAAACAGGACAGTTGAGGGATTCCTACATCAACACTTATATCTCTCAACCTTCACACCGGTGGTGAAACCATGGCCCCATATGGCGACCCTTATTTTCGTATTCAAATCCATGAGGCATACATTTGCCGCCGCACTGTCCGACACTTGCCCCGGATTCCGAATCGCCAGCTTTCTATTTATAACATTCAAGACGCAGAGATCCGGGGAAGAGTTCATTAACTGCCGTATCCGGGGACGTATTCTACATATAGTTAATGACTACTTGAGTACTTACCTATAGTATCGGCTTAGTATACCCAGTTTGTGTCTGGCTACCGGGTGTTTGCCAAACACACGAATCTATTGGATAACCTTATGTTTTGATCTACATACATAGGTTATTGTATCAGGAGTAATAAGTGGATAGGATATAGGCACAGACCGGCCATGTTCGGATATACCATTATCCACCACTTAGGCACCCTGGTATTTGACAGGCATTGCCGTGATCCGACCTTCCAAAGCAACGCTACAAACGGGCCTAGTTTTGGGTTATTTGAAGTGACTTTAAACCTCCCGTTGAAATATTCGTTCGTTATGTTGTATCTTTCCAGCCACAGCCCTTTTTAACTTATCTTAGTGTGCTAAGACTAGAGGTTCGAGGAGCGGCGGGGCTTCGCCCGCTTTTGCTTCCTTTTTGTTGGCGTCATAGGTGCTACAAAACCTTTGGTCTATGTGTTTATATTTGTAGGTTTTAAAAAAGGCGTTTTTCGAATTTTAGTTTTAATTAACTTTATATATTATAAAACGAATCGGTATATGTTTTAAGGTTTTAATTAAATTTTTAATAAAATTAATAAAAAATAAATGACTAATCGAAAATTAGTCATTTATTAATTAAATAGTTTATTTTAATTAAAAAAAACAAAGTTTTTTTTTATTTAATACATTAAATTTTTATAAATTAATAATTTTTACATAAATTATATTAACGATAATATAATAAATAATAATAACGTTTAAAATATTTTTTATTTTAATTATTTTAATTAATTTTTCATTATTTTTATATATTTATACGATATTATATTATAATGTTATAAGTTTTAACGTTTATTATTACATTTATTACAATTAACGTTACAATTGGTTAATTTTAATTTAAAACGCATACGTATTTATTTAAATAATTAAATTAATATTTATTTTTATATAAAAATTTTATTTATTATAAATACGTTAAAATTAATGTTTTTAATTAATTTAATTATTATTATTATATTATTTAAAAAAAATGTTTAAAATTATTTTAAATTAAAAATTTAAAAATGTTTTAAAAAAATGTATTAAAATGTAATTAATTGAAAAATTATATGGTTAAAAAAAGGAGTTTTTTCGGATTATTTTTAAATTTTTAGTTTAAAGTCATTTAAAATAATTTTAACTAATTAAATTTTATATTTTAATTATTTTAATTTTAATTTTAATTATTATTATTAATACATTTTATATAACAAATACATTTTATATAACAAATACATTTTTACCAATTTTTTTAATTAAATTAATTATATTATTTTTTAACTTTTTAACTTTTATAACTTATTTAATTTAATATTTTAACATAACTATTTATTATTTATTATATTTAATTTAATTTATTTCATTTTATAAAAAACATATATAATTATAAATAAATTATACTTTTAATATAATTTATTAAATAATTCCTTTTTTTAAATATTATTAATATATTTATTTTAATTAATTATGATTTTATTTATTTATTTTACATTATATATATATTAATATTAATTTATATTATAAAATAATTACTAATATAATTAATAATATAAATTAATAAAATTAAAAAAGTTATTAATGTAATAATTTAAAAAAAATTATTATAATAATATAAGTATTAAAAGCAAAATCATCTTTAATTAAATATTTTAAAACTAATGTTTTATTTGTTTTTATATATACCAATTAAGCCTTTTATCCCGTAAAAATAAAAGGGTTTTAATTAAATACAATTATTTATTATTTGTTATATTTAACTTATTTTATTGTATTTTACAGGTATGTAATAATAATATTATATTTTTTATATAAATACTTTTTTTTATTTAAAATAAAATATTAATTTATATTATTATATACTTTTTTTAAACTTTTATTATTATATTACAATATAATTTTATTATATATTACAGTTTTATTTTTTTATAATATTTATAATGTTTTAAAAGTTTTAAATAAAAGATTTAACGTAAATATAAGTTTATATTTAAAATAATAATTTCATTTAATACAAAAAATTCAACAAATAATATAAATTAATAAAATATAGTTTTAGTAAAAGTATAACTTAAATAATATTTTGATTATATGGTAATAAAATAAAAACGATATTAACCTATAAATAATTATTATTAAATCAAAAACAATTTAAATATTACTTACGTTAATAAATTTTAAAAATATAAATAAAAGTATATTAAATATTAAATAAATATTAAAAACATTTTAAAAGATTTATAATAAATAATTTTATATTTCCATTAAGATAATTACGAATAATATTATAATATATATTAATATATAAAAGTATTTACACGGAAAATAAAATATTTATTATATAAATGATTAATATAAAATTTTAATAAGTTAAAAAAAGTAACACAAAAATAATTAAATATATTAATGTAAAAATTTTTAATATATAATATTAAAAAAATGGTTTAATTTAATATAACTATAAATATATTTATATATGTTATAACGTTAATATAATAATAATTGATATTTTATAACTTTTAAACATTAATATGTTTAATTATATATATAAAATAAAGTTATAATTAAAATATTATTTTAATTAAATTGCCATTTATATATTAATGATATATATTATTTATTTTATAAATAATATAACTTTTTCTTTTTTTAATAATATTTCATTTATTTTTAATATTTTATTAATATTTTTTTTAAAAAAAAACTTTCATTATATTAATTATAATTATTATTTTTATATAAAAGGTATTTAGTTTATAAATAAAAGCACGTAGTAATAAAAAAGTTATAATAAATGGTTTAAACTTTATTATATTAATAAAGTTATATATAAATATTAAATTTTTATAAATCATAATTATGTATAAAATAATATATATAAATATTATTATATTTTTACATTTTTCATATTAATATTAATTAAATTATTGCAAAATCTTTTAAATTATTTAGAAGGTTTTATATATTAAAAAAAGTGTATAAATTTTAGTAAATAAATTAAAAAATATAAAATTTTAAAAATTAAGGAAAAATAGTTTAATAAATAACGTTTATTAAAAAATAGTAAAAATAAATAATATTTAGTTTATAAAATTACAGTAATAAATAAAAAAAATGAATTAAATGTTTTATAAAAAATTAATTAAAATTAAGTTAAAAAATAAACCATTAAAAGAATTAATAAATTTTAAAATAAAATAAATACAAAAAGTTTTCATTTTGATAATAAATTAATTAATTAATAAAGTAATAAATTTTTTAAAAAGGTTAAATTTAAAAATGTTATAGTAATGTAATAATAGATAAATTAAAATAAATAAATAATATAATAACATAATAAAAATTATATGAACGTATTTTAAAAATTTTTAATATAAATAATAGTAATATAATAGTTATTATTTATTTTGAAAATATATAATTAATTATTTATACTAAATTTATTTTTTATAACATTTAATAGTTTAATTTAACCAATATCCAAGAATAGTTTAAATAATTTAATAAAGGTGGTATTATTAAAAGGTATTAAGTAAATCTTTTTATTATAAATATGAAAGTTAAATATAAAATAAGAAAATAAGATAATCTTTATTAAAAATAATAAATTTATTATGTATTAAATTAAAAAAACCCTTTTTTAATATTTACGTAAAAGCTGGTTAAATAAAATAATAAGAAATTAAAAAAAATTCTGCAAAAAAAAGAATTTTTAATAATTTAAAGTTGTTAAAATGATTAAAATGATTAAAATTAATATTATTTAAGTAATTGTTAAATTTAAAGAAAAAAATTAAAATATTAAAAAAAATATAAAATAGTAATATTTATTATAATTAATATAATTTTAAAATGAGAATATTTTAATTTTTTTATTAATAAAAGAAGTTTTTTAAAAAATTAAATTAATCAGTAAATATATAAAAAAAACTATCATATTAATTTTTTAAAAAATTAAATATTATAAACAAAAAAAATTATATTCATAAATAAATTAAAAATATTTAATGTTATTATAAAAAAATTTAAATGTAATCTTTTAAACTTAATTTTAAATACCAAAAAAGATATAAAGATTTTACAATTATTAGGTATAATATATACTTGAATTAATAAAATTTAATGAAAAATATTATAATATAAATTTATAAATAAAAAACATTACGGTAAAAACCTTATTTAATATAATTAATATGAAAATTTAAACTATTTTTAAATAATAAATAATAAATTATGATAATTTTATTTAATTATAATAAAAAATAAATAAAAAATAAATCGAAAACTTTCAATTATATAAATTGTAAATAATTTTATTAATAAATTTTAAAATTATAAAAAAATAAATTAATAAATAATTTATTTTATAATTTTTTAAAAAAAATAATAATTGTAAAAATTAAAAATTTAAACGTTTCAAAAATAAATTTAATTAAAATAGTAAAAAACCCGGTTTTTGTTATAAATGTGGTAAATATAGTTACGTTTAAAAAACTATTTAAAAAAAAGGTAAAAGTAATAATCAAGATAATATTTAAGGTAATAATGAAAATAATTAAATTAAATAATTTATATTTTATAATTGTTAGTTAAAATAAAATAATTTGTCGGGCGCATTTTTTACGCTTAAACTTTTAAAAATTATTAAAAGAAATTGATAAATAATTGA